GAGTCGGTAAAATCTACAATAAAACTTATTCAATTATCGCCTATTACCTTTAATGATTTAGATGTACAGGCGAAACTTAAAAATTCAGCGCACAATTCCACCAGCGAGTTCTAAAACATTTGCATTACAATTTCATGAAATCAATACGATGTTGTCAATAATCGAATTGACGAAACTGAGTCGTAAGCGGCAACGGTTAGGAAGACGAAGAATTTCGATTAATAATAATTTATACCTATAGAATAGAAAATATTAACCTAATACTAGTTTTCATAAACATTCTACAAACATCACCAGCAAAAACAAAAAGTTTTTAAATGAATAAAACAAGCATTATTTTGGATAGCAAAATTATACAGTTCATAATGTGATGAATCTATATCATGTTTATTATAGGTCCGCCTACTAAAACGATGTTCATGCCGACCGAAAACCAGAGGACGAACAAACGTCTGCTACATAAAAACCAAGCACCAACGCTTAGACTGCAGCTCGCTCAACATTACAGCATACATGTTAATGTATACGCTGTCGGTCGCAGCGCCCCCACGTCTGCATTTTTGATGCCTTCGAATATCTAAAGGTACTACGTGGCAAAAGCGATGGCGGGAATTCCAGATGCCACTTCAGCGTGTGGCCTTAAAACGCATAGAAACGGCGCACTAACAAGGTGATGGTTAATCAAACGAGCGAGCTTTTGAATGATGACCGTTCGGCACCGCTGACAGCAAGCATCAATTAGAAATCGATTCTCACATGGAACATGCACAGATAAGCAACCTGCACATCAAGCGTGTGTAACTTGTTGCAGCTTTTTTTTCACCTCCATCTGCCAAATATTCATGATGCGGCAACGAAAGTTACAAGCCGGGAGTAAACAACGTTTATCAAGATAACAATAAGTCGCGAGTCGAAAAATGAACTAAAAAACAGCGCCATGACAAATAACTTATTCGATAACTAATAATAATAACCAGAGAAACTTTGGCGATGCACGATGAAAACGGCCACGGTGGGAAAACAGAAATACGTCAACCAGGCAAGCCAGCTGCCGGACAGACCAATCGACAGCCATCGACAAATTACCAACGCTCACCGGCAAGTTTAACAACCGCAATGGCGTCGAAACCACCGCCATGACGATCATCGGCGCAAGGGCGCCGAATCGTGCCGGCGGCGCGGCGACGGGAACGTTACCGTCGCACCTGCGGCGGCGCGCGGCAAGCATCGGGAGAAGAGCAGAAGGAAATGACGGACAAGTGCAATGGCACGAGATCATGACCGATCAAGAAGGATGAATACATGACAGGAATCCAGGCGCTGCCAAATAACGATTTTCGACCTCGTTACTCAAACACGGCAAATGTTTGCTTCACTTTGGCTTGTCACTTCTACCTTGGTGCACCACAGACCGGACGACGATCAAACGACCGTCCCTCATGAAGAGCTACGGCCACGTGCCAATAAATTTATTAAGGAGAAACTCACTCACAAATGCAATGCCACGACCACAAAATCGATTGATTGATCGCTCTGGCGTCATCGACTCTGAAAACAGCACTTCTGGCTTCCTCCGTCACACCTCACCTTCGCTGAGTTTCTTGATCGACTCGATCACGGAATGCTTCATACTCATCTGCAATCTCTCATCAAAAATCAGAACACAAGGCACAGCTAACACATCACTCCACAGAATACGCATCGACGTTCGCCTCCACGTCCACCGACACAATGACTGACTGGCGGAACGCACACGGGTTGTCATACGATATTTGATGCGCAGGCAAGGAAACGCCATTGTTTAACGCGACGCTGCGTATGACAATTTCGCGCCCGGCGAACTTCGCATGCAGCAAGCGCTCGATTTCAGCGTTTACATCGATTTTCGTAGTAGCCGAGAGAAAGCAGGCAATATATCGACAGTCGATATATTAATTTTCTTGAGTCTGACGGAGTGACTTCTGCTTTCAATTGGATTGTGGAAAATCCAGCAGCGCCGCACTCTAAAAAAACTTCAACGACTGAAATTTGGACGAATTAGCGACACGCTGGAAACAATTTGCAACCGTTAGCCAATAGCGACACTTCAGTTGGAAGAATAAAATGCGGGGAAACGATTATGATCGTTGGAGACTAAAATTTGGTAATTGGAGAATGAAATGTTTACCAGGCGTGGTAAAGTTGGATGGTGCTTTTGAGAAAGCGCAAAATATAAGCTCGATCGGCGAAAGAGGCAGTTTGACGTTGCTCTACCTCACATAAAATCAGTGCGTCTGCATCTCACCCAAAGAACCTACGAAACAGAAAGTGTGGATTTAGAACAGACTCACCTTGAATTGTAGAGATGCAGGTGAACGTTTCGCGATAATCTAAAATTCTAATGTATGATAGCTAATGTACAACAATTATCGTCATAGAAGCAAGGAGATTCGAGAGGTGACTGGCAGCGTCACAGCGGTGATAAGCGTGTGGCTATCAAAACTGGACTCGAACATACAGATATCGTCGCCATACGCAAAATTTATCAGAAGATATTCATCTCGAAGACGCGACCAATGCATTCAAAAGTAGTTTGCCTTGCATAAAAGAAGTGCCTATAGATAACAAGACAATTTAGACTCAGAGGATTACATTTCAGATGGCAGCTACGCTACCCATCATAAAGACATTATCATAGCGCCAGAAAATTGAAGACCTACTTTATAAGAACACCTAGTTAAATTTTAATTTCTAATGACATCAACCAAGATATATTTGGTCGCAATTTCAACAGTAGTGATCTGTATTCTATAGGCAACAGTATTTGTGACTTCATGCAAAGCTTTCCTGTATGGTCAAAGTTAACGATTTCTTTCAGTTGGAGGTGTGAACAAGAGTTGGAGGACGACTCGTTGGTGCTAAGGAAACTGCTACGCTACAAGGAATCGCACTTCGGCTTGCAGATCAATTCCTTGGGAGGTTTCCAGTAAGATGGGCAACATTAAAGAGAGCGCTTAGATTTTGAGTGCTGCTCAGCCGAAGCAACCGAGTCCGTGCGCGTCGGTTATAGACCAGAAAGTAGAAACAAAGACGTATATCGAGAAAGAAATTTATCAAAGCAATAAAATCGAATATCACCACTGATACGATGTTACCATAAAAAGCGAATGGTCTGCCAGCAACGACGAAGGTAATTCGCCGTAGCAAAGTAATGAGTTATACAGCAGAAGAAATTACGTTTTTTCTGCTTTCCGTGAAATTAATTTTAAAATATCACAAGTGAGAGTAAGTTGGCCCTTCTGTAACTTTTTTGACTGCTGGAGAAGAGAAGAATAAAACAGTGATAGATTCTTGCACAAAATGAATCGCTTTGTACACTAACTCTGACACAGTAATGCACTCAGATAAAATTTTAACGCAACTAAAAAATAATGACAAATCTCCCCTGTATAAACACATGTCATAAATATAAATGTATGAGCGACTTCACGTTCCCGATTTCCTACTTTTTGACCATTCAGCTAATGTCAGCGACGCTAATTTAAATTCATTTTAGCCCTTAAATCAGGTTTACAGTCAGATTTTTTCTCACAGAGAGCAATAAAGATTTCTCTCTAGGAAGGCACTGACTCGTTAACCTATGGCTTTCATTTTCATGGAAGACTTTTATGGCTACCATACTGACTGAAAATTACAGGCTGATGCGCACTTCACCACGTGACACGACCTTATGCTTTGATAGTTGAACTTCGCTGCCATCACACTACATTTTAGAAAACGAAAGCTCTAAAGGCAGGTTACAATTATACCTGTTTTAAACTCTACCACCGAACAACAGCATGTGGGCAATTTAGGTTAACAGTGAAAAGCAGCGAAAACGACAACCGCGGGTACTCAAAATCATTTAGCTTTGGTGCTCGGCGTATGAAATTAATAATTTCGAAATTGAATTACGAACAACTTAACATCATTGACATAAACAGTGAACAACTCAACTATCTAAGGTTCGCTGATGCCGTATTGTTGTTTGCAGAAAACACGAGCCTGCTACAATACATGCTACAAGAGCTCGCGAGAAATGATACAGAAGTCAGACTGCGAATCAATTGATCAAAGGTAGAGATATTGCGATTGGACGCACTGCCAAAAGATTGGTTAGCATTAAATGGCGGAAAAATCAAAAAATCATAAATCACATTTATCTGGGGTCAGGAGCAAAGATAAATGCTGCAAACTAGAGCAATTCAACCGAGAAAGAGAGCCGACTGCAGTGCTTTCCATTCAATTAAACATGCCTTCTTCGATCATTCGGAAAGAAACCCGCTTACATCTCTTCAGTTCTACCGCCATACCGGCAATGTTGCGTCGCTCTAAGACGTAGTCACTCACTAAAACCGGAAAGCACGAGATATTTGGTACCGAAAACTCATGAAAAAAGAATGCTGGGAATTTCATCTCACGACCACAATCCCAAAACGATAATCTGGTAGCAGACGAGAGCGAAAAGCACTGCCGTCGAAGAAAGGAAGGAGAATCTTCCTGCGCCGCACACGTAGATAGGTACCCACGTGAGATGATGCGAGATTATCGCCGATTGGTAGGTATTTTCGCGGGCAAACTAGACTGCTTGGTCATCAACAATGACGGTAGGATGATTATGTAAGGGGTCGGGAAGCCCGCGTTTGAAGGGAGAAGATTTTTCCAAAATGCTCGTCAGAACTAAAATAGAAAGAGCTAAAAGGCATGAATAATAATGACAGATACCATCCTCGGTTTAAAAGGACGATCATATAAACAGAAATGTTTGGGCAACGTTATTCTCCAGATCTTGACCATTCAGCGGCGAAAAAATCCTTCATTTTGATTTCCTGGTGTTCTCCCTCAAGCATTACCTGGATCTTGTGACCACTTGGCGTTCAGAGGACCGACGATATCATGAAAAGATGTCAGCACATTTTTTTTCAGTAGTTAATACCAACCGTGATTTCCTTGAGGTTTGTAATTGAACCATTTTTCTCTTAGAAAAAATGCCTAAAATGGTGTTAATAACCAAGGTTACTTCAAAGTACCCTGGTTATTTCTAAGCACTCTTTAATCCACGGTATTAGGGTACATAACAGGACTTCATGGACGTCGTAGCAGCTCGGCTGTCTACACTGCTTTAAATTTTACATTGTCATGCTATCTCGTACTTTAGTCCTCGACCGCTCCCCAGAAGGACAAGCTGAGGTTGGATCATGGGAAGAAAAACAATTAGAACAAACCGAATTAACTCCAAAGAACAGAAACTCCACTATTTCCGAATGCATACACAACCTTAAGAGCTGTACATATCATTTACGTGGCTTATATTAAGACTACTTTCGGTTTTTGATCGATGGACGCTTATGGGGTAAAAATTATGGCATTTTAACAAGCTGGCTATTATCTGTAGCAGCACTCAGAACATGTCCCATGATTGGGTTCATTCGTGCATCCCTAACGCGATAGGCTAGATAGTAGTCACAGAATCAGCCAATGACTCAGTGACAGTTTCCCGACGCGGTTATTCACTCCAACATAGTGCCACCTTACGTCGGACCGCTCTGGCACCTCCACCGACAAATAATCACACTTGTCGTAATCTCCCGACAGGAAGACAGGTGCTTGTCGCTTTTGGAGAGCTGAGCCAAGTGATGTTGAGGAACAGCAGCTGTTCTATGAGTAACGGCGCTCCAGGCCGTTCCTAGAGTCTCCTCATCTTCGCTCCTGGCTGGTCGTCGCCTGTGAACCGCCTCCTATGCCGCGACACCTGTCATTGTCAAGTATTCCATCCACAGTGCTGCTACGAGCAGGAGGATAACGAGCATGACTGGCGACTGCCCCATGACCTTGTCCACATGTTCCAGCGACACATGACAGACAGCAACTGGCAAGAAGCGATTCCGCTCCACATCACCCTCTCGCAAACGACGCGAATGCGCAGTGATAAGCAGGTATTTTAACGAGCATGTTTGTTATGCACCCAAGGCATGCCCAATCAAATTCAATCCCGCCCCTTCGCTGCCAACGACCAGTCATCGAATGTCGGTAGCGAAATTTAGCGGATATATGGGAGTGTGTTCCTGGCGCTCCTTTATCTGTTAGCATTCGAACTACGCCTTCGTTCGTAATGATGGTGATTACTGCATACCAACCGCCAATCGACTCGTCTACCACATCCATATTCTCACGGCGAATGTAATCGGTGTTTGTGCTCGTCGAGAGTCGATCGGTTCCCGTGAATTCGCCGTAGTTCGACCGATCTGTCAACGGGGAAGGAAAAAGCCTCGTCCTAGGCAAAAACTGGAGTGCTGCTGCGCCAACGGAAGCGGCCGGCAGAAACGAGAACATCTGGCATGAAGTCGACCGCAACGCAAACACGAACGGAGCTCTGCGAGGTAGCGACGGCGTATGTACGGAAAAACATCGACATCTGGCAGCAGCAAAAAGAAGAAGAAGCAAAGGAAGTGGCGGCATTCATACGATGATCGTCGCTTCAATGCAGGGGGTGAAAAACTTTAATCACCGTCTGCAGCGGACGGACGGACGGCAACGGAGGACGATCGCTCAACCTCTTGTCCTTGTTTCGTTTCTTCGTTTTCGTGAACTCGGTCGGTGACTGAAGTCCAAAATCAAGGCTCCTGCCTGACCAGGAGACGGAGCACCATTACAGCAGAGTGAACGCACCGATCCTCGCTAGCACCTCTACCACAGGCAGTGACCAACAACAGTGTCGTTCTATGTCGGACATAGCGCTTCTCTATACACGCGGTAAACGCGGATACGTCAATTACCTCCTCCTGGACAGCTGTCCAATCAGCGATCGACATAAACATCATGTGCGAAACGTAATCCAACCAGATTACGCGCCACCCAATGAACGGCGGCGGGCAGTTTTCGTAACGCCATGTCAGCAGTGGTTGGTGGCATTTGCAGTGGCAAGACCGGGATCGCGCAGAACCGAACCAGATCACGACTGCAAGAGCGGGAGTGAGTGGGCGAACAACGACGGACGGAACAGAGACTGTATCCGAAAGAAGACTGACAGCGCAGGGTAAAACCGCCGTGACTCATCACCCTCTTTCAGTGAAGTCGTAGTGTGGAGGCCGTTGTGATCGTCTGACCCACATAATATATACAGCCGCCTCCTTTCGTAACAGGAGAATTCCTCGCTACCGCCGCTGACAACACAATTACCATCATTGCCACACATTCATTCGCACCGAAAAGCGCAATTTCGTCAGATTCCGGTTTCTGACGACCGCACATTAAAGGTGCCATGGTGCATTTCGCATCAGCACGACAGCACAAAATAAATCAATAGGAGACGGACGGAAATCGAAGTTAATAAAGACCCGATCCGCCAGCGTCCATGACTCATTCCGTCAATGGCAGCTTGAACGCAGGG